TCGCAAGCGCCGAGCAAGGCAAGCTCCTCGTCGAGTACGCCCGCCGTGTTCCCTCCAATCTCATGCTCAAGCTCAACGAAGACGACAGTGACGACGAAGGCGCCAAGGCGCAAAGGCGCTGTTTTGGGTCGACAAGAAGACTAGTCGTTTTACTAGTAGGTAGCAAGGTATCCCCTTCTTGGGGGATACATACCTCTGGTTTCAAATGCTTCGCGAGGTCGTTTATGACTAAGGTTAGTCGGAGGCTGGTCGCTAGTTAGTATATAGTTAGTCGAACATTAGTTTGTTTTTAGTCGGTAGTTAGTAGCTATTTAGTCGGTCGCTAGTCGGTCGCTAGTCAGTCGTTAGTCGGTTACGAGGATGTCTCGTGCCAGTCGCGAGGAAGTCACGAGGTAATTTTTGGGCCTACTAGTAGATCCCATTCATTGACTTCAGTTTGTATTTGGGGCATCCACACCGGTTGGTCTTAGCCTTGTTGTTCCTTACAACACGGATAATTGGCAAGAAGGGAACCCACCTATGGACATTTTATCACCTGGCTGTTGCTTATTAAAGGGGAACTTGGCTGGCAAATATGCACGCATGACAACCCGTAAACGCTACTACATAGTCGATATGCTCGCGCCCTCTATAGGTACAAAGTCACGCCAATTGTTTTTGCCAATCGAATATTCCATGGCGATTTACGCGGCTGCCTTGTCAGTGGGCGGCGTGGCCGTCGCGAGGCCATAGAGGCTGTTGAGCGCCATGACAAGTACAGCGGCCGTGCCGACCATCCACGCGTTGCCGCGATGTGGCTGCAGCCCGTGCGCATACGCGTACGTGTGGTAGACACGGGCGGCAGTAAACGCGCCGAGCGCGCCTGTCGTGACCGCCTCGACGCCGCCCGACTGGACCGCGCCCCACGCGACAAGGAGGCCGATCGGGATGTTTTCGAGGTCGTTGCGCACGATGCGCTCCCAGCGAATGTCCTGTTCGCGGGCGGCGGCGGTCGCGGCGGCCGTATCAAAGGTCTGCGCCTGCTTGGTCGGGTTGAACTGCGTCAGGATCTTGTCCTCGGGCGGGCGGCTACCTGCGGCGAATCGCTTCCCGCCTTGGATCGCCGTCGTCACGAGACACTTGGTGTAGAGCACGACGCTGCTCGCGACCCACGCCTTGGACGCGCTGAGCATTGTTGAAAAAAATACTTCGTAGGAACTCATCGCCTCTTTTAGTGTTAATTCTGAAATAGTGTGAAATGACGTGGCAACGCCTGCGTATGCGCAACCGTGGGGTCAAGAAGCACGGCACCGCCTGGCGCTGAGATTTCAGGGTACTCTAGTCTCATCATAGTCCATAGTCCGAGCTTCCACCTCGCGAGTGAACGCGGCTTTTTACATTGTGACACGACAGCATCTCAAGTGTCCCTTGGAACCACGCGTTAAGTGATGACTGCGCCTCCCGCGCAGCAGAAACCGGAGCTCGCAGGAAAACCCTTGGGTCGCGTACTTGCCGCTCTTGGTTGCAAACGTGTTGAGAAGATCTTGGTTTCAAAGATGTGGTTGTCGAACGTCTAGTGGTCGCTCAACGCGCAACGCTTTGTAGTCGGCGCACCGTTCGAACCTCTATCATTCTCGTCGCTGCTGTCCACGGACGATGCCTTGGCCGCGACAACATGCATGTAGCCCGTCTGGTGCCAGAGACGCTTGGTGGCCATGGCCGTTTCGCTCGAGGCGTGCACACAGGCGTCCATGCGAGCGCTGCGACCATCAAGGCCTTAATGGATGCACTGCCTGAGTCACTTTCGCTGGATTCGCGGTGGCAAAACCAAAGGTCAAACTCCATCTCGATCCACTGCCCATGGGTTCCTGCGCCAGCTCGCATTGCTGAATGGCGAGTGCTTGATATTCATGTTTTTAAAATGGGACGAGCGCAAGCAGCACATTCGGTGAGCTAGAACTGTCATGTGAAGGACGAGTGTACGCTCACAGAACTTGTGCATGCATTCGTATGGTCAAGTTAAGACATCGCCACAGAGGTCCCTTGTTTCGCAACCACTTTACAGCAGTGTGCGGCTTCGCAGCGCGTCGCACTGCGTGCGCCTCGACTCTCCCGACGGGAGGACATCCCCTTCGTTTCAACAAGAGAGAGATCGGCCTTGGGGAAAGCGCAACACGGTGCAGAGATCCGCGTTTTGTATGGGATTGTGACAAAGTGTCCTCAGCACCTCACGTTGAACAGCTGTTTTGTCTGGTGCATTCGTGAGTTACCGGATGGTTTGGAAACGGAGGCCGTTCGTCGCGCTGAGGCTTGCCTGGATAGTTCTAAAGTTGTATGCTGGCTAGACCTGGACGACTGTCGTTGATGGCTTGGCTGAGTGCGTCGGGTTCCTCGGCTTGGTAGCGCGGAATCGATGGCGCTGTTTGAACTGCTGTTTTGCGGTGTACGTCTGTTGCTCCCACGAATCCAAAGGCGCGCAACAGGTCGAGGACACAGTCAAGTATGGGGCCAGTCGCGTGTACAGTACCATACTATATGAATGTGGCCTGTGAGGGACTTTTGAGACGGGTATGTTTCCTATCTCCATCCGCGACGCCCAGAAGCGCGACGCGTCACGTAATTATGCTACGACTATCCAATGCACCAATCCTCCCATTGACTAGAATCGTGCGCGTTCCACGAGATATCTTGCGTGTACCGGCCCCGTTTTGATCGTGTTCGAGCAACAACATTGTTCCTACCCCACACCCATTAGCAACGATTACGGTTGCCCGATATCAAGCAGGAGCAACTTGCGTCAGACTATTGGCTATCATCTGAGGCCAGTCAAATCAAGAGGAAACGCTATCGGCCTGCTGAGGATTTGAGAGATCATGGCCCAAAGTTATCAGCGCTTTTGATTGGCCGCTTCCTAGCGATCTCATTGGTCAAACGGTGAAGGTGATCGACGGCAGGAGCCAATGGCAGAGCTTAGGAGCGCCGGAGGCCGACAACAGGTCACTGATTGGTCAGTTTTCGGCAAATAGCCCTACCCTGACGACCTTTTGACACACAATTTGCACCAGAATTATGACGTTTCTGTCGATAAGAGCTACACCAGTCGATTCCCCTTGGAATTCTGGTGCTGGTGCTATTCGCGCTCAGAATCGCCTCCAACGTCGATCTGATGCCTTCCGGTTTGACTGACCTCATCTCTTGCCACCTGACGACTCCATGTCTCGATCACCAAAAGTGGCATTCCTCAATCGATTGACCAGCGAGAAGAACGGGTATGGACGCGCTGCACCACCTCACGTATGGCGTCAAGGGCGTCGACTTTGTCGCTGTCTACGACACGACCGTGCAGCACATTCCGCTGCGCAAGGATCTCGCACACCTTCGGCCGCCACCGCCTCGGCTCACCGACAAGCGCGACATCTTTATCGGTGTCACCGCCTACCGCGACGGCGTCAAGTGCGGCTTTACGCTCTGGACGGCCTTTGCTCGTGCGGCCCACCCAGAGAATGTCTTTGTTGGCGTTGTCGACCAGACCATGGCCGATGACGTTGCCTGCATCGACGCCTACTGCGAACGCGCGCGCGAGACGTGGCCGACCGAGCCGTGCAAGTACAAGTCGCAGATCGCGATCGACGCGCGATCGGCAACTACGTCCAAAGGCCCGACTGTCGCCCGCGCGCAGCTGTATCCGCTCCTCGGTGACCAAGAGTTTAGCATGATGATCGACTCGCACGTGCAGTTTGCGCAAATGTGGGACGACTTGGTCATTGCCGAGTGGGTGGCCACGGACAACGAGATGGCCGTGCTCTCCAACTACCCGATGGGCTTTGAGCAACTGACGGCCGATGCCACGTTCACAGGCAACTACGGCTCGCACGTGTGCAACTACGTCTCCCGCCCCGGCGCCGACGCGGTCGTCTACTATTCGGGGATCCTCACCGCCTTCAACTTTGAGCGCCCGCTCTTGTCGGTCTCGTGGGCCGGCGGCTTTTCGTTTGGGAAGAGCCACGCGTGGCACCGCGCGCCCATCGACCCGTACATGAACTGGGTCTTCTGGGGCGAAGAGTTTTTACATGCGTACCAGCTCTGGACACGGGGCTACGACATGTACTCGCCGAGCCGATATGGCAACGTTGTCTTTCACAACTGGACCGACAACGGCGACAAGCACCGGTACAAAAATGTCTTTTTGCATTTCGACAATATGAATGTATATTGTCGGTTGTAGATTCACCGACAATGTGACGCTCGTGACGAGCCAAGACCAGCACAACCGCGAGGAAGCCATGGCGTACAACCGGTTCCGGCTCATCTTCCAGCAGTCGTTCAGCGGCGAGGTCGACTCCCGCGAGATCGACAAGTACGGCAGCGGCACCGTGCGGTCCCGCGAGCAGTTCTTCACGTATGCCAACATCTCCAACACGGACGCCAACAAGGACTTTGCGGCGTGCAACCAACTGCACTTTGTGCCGTACGCAGACCCGACCGAGCTCGAGGCGCTGCTTCCAGGGTGGCGCTTTGCCGACTCCAACTTGGCGGCAAAGGACGTTGTCACGGTCAACAACTCGGTGCTCCACGACCTCCGACGCAAACTCGACGACGCCGAGACGACTGTGACGCAGCTGCGTCACGCTGTCGAAGCCGCGCGCCACGAGCAGACACATGCGTTTCAACTTCTCGAGACGGCGCGCAAGGAGCTCGAAGAAAGAGAGCAAGCGACGCTGCGCGCGATGCACCAAACGCTCGAGAAGGTCGCGCGGCAGAACAGCCGCATGATCAACGGCATGAGCATTCGCCTGCGCCAAATCCAGCAAACGTCCACCCACGTCTATAGCGAGCTCGCGCTCGTGGTGTTGATGCTCGTGACGGTGCTCATCGCTCTCTTTGGCCGCTGCTGGGGCAAGCGCAGATCGAACGCCGTTGCTTACACCAAGCTACAAGCGACCGAGTAAGAGCTTCTGGCGCCATGACTGACAATCAGTTCTGGTTGCAAGACATTATCTATCTTTTAATTGAATATCTATCTTTTTTGCGCTATGCACAAACCACGAGCGCAGCGAGTGCACCCGGCAGTAGCTGGGGTCCGCGCGCTAGCGCCGTAGGGCAATATGCATGTGGCATCGATATGTGCAGCTGAAGCGGAAGATTATCGCGAGGCAAAGGCGACGGCAGCGAAGCAAGGGGAAGGTTGAGGCAGCTAAGAAAGAGCTCCTCCCGCCGACGGCTCTACCAATATCAGCCCAACACGGAGCATGATCGGGACGACGCACCGCCTTCACCGCGCCGCTGCAGCGCTACAAAGATTCACCAGCTCACTAAGTGCACCGTAGCGAAGGCTCCACCGCAGCGTGGTTCCCGCCGAAGGGCGGGGCACGGCGCACGCGTCCATCACATCTTCGCCATGTGGACGCGTGTTTGCATGGGGCAGGGTGCGTTCAAGTACATGGTACAAGCCGTGTACCGATGATTTGATGGCATCCACGCTCTCCAAGCTACGACACAGACATACCGTCGGTCGACCAGTAGCCATACTGTTTGCTCGACCCACGGTGAAGCGCATCGTCGTCCATCTCGACACAGAAACAGTGCGACACTGACTACGTCGACCGGCGACCGTGTCGAACTCTACGACGGCAACTACTGTCTATAATCTTCAGGTTGGAAATGTGTGTTTAAATCAAATTTCGTCATGTGCTACCGTCTAATTCTTGCGCGGCCGCCATTGTGTTTTGTATGCGCCGAATGAGAATCTCGCGGTATCCGACGGCGTCGATGCGCGTGGCGCCTTGGCCAATCAAGCACGCATCATTGAGCCCGCCTCGATGTGGCTCAAACGTCCGCTCCGCGTGGCGAGGTGTCACGTACTCGGGAATCGCTGCGATGAGTGCTTCCGTTTTGGCCGCCCACGACGAGGCGCTGGACCAAACCGTGTTGTTGGACGTCTGGTTGTGGTTCCCTTGGTGGCGCGGTGGCGTGAGAATGTACTGGCCGTTGATATAGAGCAGCGGCGGGGTCGCACTGGCTTCCGGTAAGTAGTGCGCGAGGCTGCCGCACAGCGTCTCGTTGTGCAGCGCCATGTCGTCGGGCAAGGACACGACCGCGGCCGCGTGCTCGGAGAAGGCGTACGAGGCATTGGCCAAGGCGCACGCCAGCCAAAAGTATTCCTTGTCCCCCCTAGGTGAGAGGAATTATCTCTCGAAAAAGCGCCCAAATAGAGTGTGACCTACCACGACAACCCAAACCGAGCGTACGCGGGTTCACGCCGCAGCTCGTGGACGAGGTGCCAAAGCACTTGCAACATTGTGTGTCCGACGCGGCTCTTGCGCACTAGCACGACCGACGAATCTTGCTCATGCGCGGTGGCGTGCTGCCACGCCTTGGACTGTCGCAGCTGCGCGGACGGCTCAAGCCGCGTCAAGTTGAAGCGCGCGTAGGGAAACTCGCGAAACAAGCTGTGGAGCCCCGTCTCGTTGGACGACAATGGCGTGTTGAAGAACTGCGTGTAGTCGATCTGCCGGTCGTAAAAGAAGAGGGTGCCGGTCGATTGGAAAGGCGGCGTGTCCCAGAGGACGTCGGGGTTCCGCAAAAAGATGTCGTCGGCGTCCAGCAGCATGACGTCGTCAAAGTGCGTGTGCAATAGCGCAACGTTCTTGATGTAGTAGCTCTGGTACGCTCTTGCGTTCCGGATACGGCGCAAGTACGGCGTGTGCTTGACCAAGAGCCGACACACGTCGACAATCTCGATGGCGTCGAGGACGTCGGCGGCCAGAATGCGCGCCCGCGTCGCGGCCGACAGCTCCGAGCGAAGGCAAGTGTAGACTTGAATCGGCAGCGAGTTGTTGAGCAACCGGAGATCCTGGATGAGCGAGATACCCATGGCCGCAATCTTCTCGTAGAGGCAGACGACGATGCCCCGCGTCGCGTGTGGGAAGCGCGAGACATGGCCGCGTTGAAAGGCGGTTTGGTTAAAGTTGGTGGGGGGCGCGACCACCTGCAGCGCTTTGGTAGGCGTTCGTGACACCAGCACTCTGGTAGATGACGGCACAAGCTCCGAGTCGTTAAGCGGTCGCACGGGCGGCACGTTGCTTAATGTCGACACCAGCAGCACGTCGATAGGTGCTGGAGAGGCCTGCGAGTTGGCGGGCTGCGGGTCGGTTGTAGGTGCCGGCAAGTCGGTAGGCGCTCGAGAAGCCTGCGAGTCGGCTGGTGTTAGAGATACCGACACGTTGGGAAATGACAGCACGAGCTGCGAGTCCGTAAGCGCTGGAGAAGCCTGCGAGTCGGTGGGTGCTGGAGAAGCTTGCGAGTCGGTAGGTGCTTGAGACACCAACACGTTGGTTGATGACGGCACAAGCTGCGAGGCGGCAGGCGCCGGTGAAGCCTGCGAGTTGGTAAATGACGGCATAGGCTGCGGGTCGGTTGGCGCCGACAAGTCGGCAGATGACGGTACAAGTTGCAAGTTGGCAGGCGCCGGCACGACGTCAATGCGCTGCGCACGGCGCAGTTTCGACGGTGCGTCGAGCGACTGCGGCGCAAACACAAAGGCCAGTTGAACGAGCACCGAGATGCAAAGCAAGCAGGCAAAGAGCGCGGGAAAGAGTGGAATAGCCCGCTGCATGTCTTGCTGACCTCGCTCGTCTCGGCGCTAGACGGAAATGATCGTCGACTCAATTCCAGTTGCCAGTCGAAGTGCCATTACACGTCGTGGACTGATATCATTTGACAAAAAATAGCTTGGTTTTTGTATATGGCAGGGTTGCGGCAAAACCGATGTTTGGTTTCAGATAATGGGGCTCCATTATGGGCACTTCTTTGTAACGTGCCGTTTGAAACCTATACTTAAATCTCAAAAAAGACCACCTTTTCTTAAACTGGCGATGCTGATCAAAAATTGCACGGGATTGTCGCGGGAATAGAAATGGCACCACCGTGGCCAGTGCAGTGAGTGCGTCCGCGGGGCCATGACAGCTTGAGGTGGTCATCAGTGCAAGCTATCAGTGCGCAAGCAAGAACTTCATTAGAGATGTAGAAGTATAACACCGCGCCTCGGCACCTCGGTGCCTTGTCAATTTGCGAGGTATCACTGTCATCCCACGCTTTTTCGTCGGACAAAAACGGCAAGCAAAGCCCAACGTTACCTACTGCGAACCGCCAGTCGAATATTCGACACGTGTGTATCACGCAGCATCCCATGGCGCCGCCCAGGACCCTTCTGTGCCATCAACAGCGGTTTGGCGCGGAGCGATGACGCAAGCCACCGCCTGTCTCGACCAAGGGCCCGAACGCGCCACGGATCCCACGCCCGGGTCGCCTCAATGGCGCATGATCTTCTTTGGCGCGGTTGCACTGCTGGCCACGGCAGCATCACACGACGCAGATTACCGATGCCGAGCCGCCACGACGCCTGGCTTCGCGACCGCTTCATCCCGGCTCATGCCCTTCACACGCCTCGCCCCCAAAATGCCTCGCCCCGGCGAAACACCCTTGCTGCTGATGGCCGCACCACGCTTGGAGTCAATAGTCCGTCACCAAGACAGGTTCAGTGTACAGTACTAGTAAATGATATCTAAATAGCCTCACTTGAGAGTCTGAACAACGACGCAGCATCCCATACAGTGTCAATGGTATCGATATACAAACGATCTGATAAAATATCCACTCGAGAGGGTCCTTGTCGTGCATTGCGCCAACCGACGCCATCCAGACGAATATAATCTTTTAGAGACTAAAAACTGGTTTCGGGAGTGGGCCAAACATTTTGCTTCGGTCGCTAGAGCATATACTAGTACAGTCACCGCACCGCACGCGCTTGCCATTTTGAGATTCCCACGCGGCGTCTTCACTACTTTACCTGAAAGCTGAAAGAAAGGAAGCCAATGTAACGTTAGGAGAATATAGTTCCATGCATTAACTAGTATGTTTACGCCGCGGGGCGCGCAGCAATCTGGGCTGACGCGACCGTGCGGCCGTCCTTGGCCTCGTCCACGACCCAGTCCATGGCCGACGAGAGCGTAAAGGCCGAGAGAACATCGTTGCGCGGGTCGTTGGTTGGGCCAAAGCGCGTGCGGCCGTCGTACCAGATCACCGCTTGACCCATCTCTTCGACGTTGGACGTCATGACGAGCCAGTAGTGGGCGTCGGGCTGCAGCGTCTTGGGCGTCGACGGCACCCATTGAAACTCGATGCGCTTGGAGACGGTTTCGATTTTGAATTTGTCGGCCTTGGCGTTCGCATCGCACGCGGGCAGTCCGTTGACCGTCGGGCAAATGTCAAGCGTGATCCACGTCGCCTTGGGGTCAATGTTCTTGGTCGTCACCGTCACGTTGGCATAGTCGACGAGCTGGTTGACGCCACACGCTCTTGCCGACCGGAACTGCACTGCGATCGCTTGGTCTTTCGAGACGGGCGAGCCCCAAGGGAGGTTGTCGTCGGGACGACCGCTGTCGAGAAGCAATTGCGCCGAGGTAGTCGCGGCGACAGCAAGAAGCGAAGGAAGGAGCCACTGCATCGCTAGGTTGAGCTACTCGACAGGCGGGTACTTTGGAAATGCCGACCAGTGTAGCAAAAAGCCGAAAGGGTGGTCTGAAATCAGATCTCGAGGCAAGTGCCACGGTGTCGACGTGGATAATCTGAGTTGCGCCAACCAGAAACAGTGCCACGTCACGAATGATATCTTGTCAGAAAATAGTCGTTTTTAACGTCTCATACAGAAAACAAGATGTAATGCAAAGAATACATGGCCGCCTTTTGCGCATTCACACCCATGTCTTCTCTCACGGGTGCGAGATAATGGAGCGAATGGCCGGTGACTCTGGTGGCGTAGAGTGCAAGGATGCACTGAGCATTCTTGAATCCTAGATTGCACAGCAGCATCGATCCGCCTCGAAAACTCGAAAGCATTCAACGATGGCTCCCTCATACAGTGTATCCACCGGTGGAAGAACTTGTCGAAGTGAACAAATCGCCCGCACTCGTTCGAATCGTTGCGGTTGCCAACATGTTGTAGGACAGGCGGTCGTAGGGAACATGGACGAACCGACCGTCTTCAACCAAAAATTATATCGACACCGCACAGCATTGCAGTTTGTCAATGGCACATGATGTGAGAGCAAAAGCGGTCGTGATATACCGCCGATACCTGGAACTCGGTATCGAGCTGCATTTTGGATCCTGTACGAGCTAAAATGGGTATGCATCCCTTGGACTTTGCCATTGCGTTGTCACGGAAGCCGAGACGGCGATACATCTTGCTTAGGCGCATGCTTCGAACGGCTTCGAGAATTAAATTGACTTGCATTTCCACGGGCTACGCCAGCGCTTTTCTCGACCGCCCGCACCTTCCAGATGACCAAGTAGTAGTCATATTCATGGAGGATGGGCTGGCAATATACATAAAATTGTATAGTTGTTGTGGAAGCATCTCCATACCCTCTTCATTGCCCGTCAGGCATGATCCTTTTTTGGTTCAAAACAGAGTCGCTCCCAAAATCACAACATCATATCCTGATGGCTATGCTCTATTACCGCCGACAAGACTCGCGCCTGCATATTTTGCCAAGAGGCTCTGTGTACTCGAGGGCGTGATGGACGTTCGGTCGTCCGCTACGGAGCTTGTCACTGCCTTGTATTTGTTCAGAATCGACTGCAGCCGATCGGTCGTGTCGGCAACGAGCGGTTGGTCGGGTGTTTGGCTTTTCCCATATTTGCCCAGAAGAAACTCACGCCGCGCGGCCAACGCTGCATGTGCATCCGCGTCGGTGGATGCACTTGGCGCGTTTGTCGTCGTCGTCAGCAGTGAAGCATTGTGCTGCCCTTTCATACCAAGTGCCAGCGGTATCCGCGGTGACAGCGTCGACGAGGCCGGCGTCGATGCAAGACTTTGCGCAAACGACGACAAGGGCGGTGGCGGCTCGCTGGGCGACTGTAGAACGACTTGGTCAAATTCCTTTTGAAGCGTCGTCATCCACGACAAGTGCTTGATCTCGGCCGTCAACGGCGCCGACGTCATGGCTGACTTGCCATACTCGTTTTTTTTTGGGACGCGAATCGCGGGGGGCACCACGTCGGCTTGGACCGCGGAGAATGGCGGCTCGTCGACTTGGTTGCTTGGTGCAGGCTTGGTGGCCTTGGAGGAGACGCGCGGCTTGCGATGCTTTTCCTTCTTTGGCAGTGCAACTTTGACACGCTTGGGCTTTTCGCCGTTCAGAAGCGGCGTGAGGTCTTGGGCGTAGCACGCAATCGTCTTCTTGGTGTGATCAATTTTAGGCGGGGGCTCGTCGACTTCGGCCGCCGCGCTGCGCGCCGTGCCTTTGGTCTAGATCATGGATCGTGCGTGATTCCTTTGTTGTAGAGATACAGTAGGTACGGTAGCCGCTAAATTTGGTAGGCGGGGGTATATCTTCATCACGGGCGCGATCTCCGCGACCGCCAGGGGGGGTGGCATGGCGGGCGCCGGTCGGGGTTTCGGCTTGGCCTTCTTGGTCGGCGCGCGCTTGGAAAAGTCGACGTCCCGAATGATCGCCATGGTCTCAAGCGTGTGGAACTTCTCTTCTTCTTCCGCGCGACGCTGCGCCAGCTCTTTTGCGCGCTGTCGTGCTAGCTTGCGCCGTTGCTTTTCCTCCTTTTCTTTTGCGAGTTGCCGTAGTCGGAACTGCCGCTGCTGCATCGCGACGGCAGCTTGCTGCTGCTGGAGAAAGTGGACTTGGTCGTCCAGCGCCACCTCGGTGGCCGCGAGCGATTGGTACGCGGGGTCGGCTTCGAGCTGCGCAAGGAGCGCTTCGTGCGCCGCACTAAGATCGGCCGATGCACTGCGCGCCGACTCCAGCGGATTGTTGCCGCTACTCGGCGCGTCATCGACGAGCGATTCGTCGTCGTCGTTGTCACTGTTAAGTCTCGCACTTGACGTTGAATTGCATGCACGACTGTTGTCGCCGTCGTCGTCGGTGGTATGAAGCGCCCGCCATTTTGCCCACTGCCGGTCCGTGTAATCTCGCCACGTTTGCTGAAGGACACGCGCTGCCCAGTGTCGCTCGAGCTCGTCGGTATCGTCGTCCATCCTCAGTCGGTTTTGCACCGGTTGGCTACTAAATTTAATCCCGCCAGTCCAAATTGAGTCTTCTACAAAAATGCAGGCGGTCGTGGTGGTTCATAGTACTAGTAGCTCATTTCGAGTGGGATGGAGCACGCTTAATATCATGACGCACGGACCTTTGATCGTGCTCGCCTCTCGAGGGAGCGATGCACGGTGTTATCGTGCTTGCGAGCCAAAGCGAAAACGAATGTGGGAAGCGAGAGTCGTTGGCCAACAGAGTCGATGGCCAACAGAGTCGAAGAAGGGGCACTTTAGCACCGGCATTGAGTCGAATCATGGACAGATTCTAGGACTCTGTAGCACCCAAAAGTGAATAAATTTGTACGCCTTGCAAGGTGCAATATTGTCGATGTATCGCGCCCGACGCAGCATGTCGAATAGGTGCATATGCAGACGTTGGTTCGGAACCCACCCGTGCTTTTTCAGGCGATTGCCTTTCGAGCTTTAAATAGTGTTGGCCGGCAGCAAGGATATCTTTTTCAAAATCAAATCCTCCGAGTAGGTAGCGCCACGTCCTTCGCACATAGCCATACCTCGTGCGGTTTGTGTCGTGCGTCGGTCGACTACACAGCGTCCCATCGCCACGCACATAAAATTCACACTAAATCCAGTCGTATCCGAGTCGAACGTGACCGTTCAAGATACCCGCCATGAGCACGACTACGGCCAAGCGGTGTGCCGAGGCCGCGGCCACGCTCCGGGAGCTTCTTGTGACGGCGGCGGGCCGAGGGATTAGCATTGAAGATTCGTTTGCGCACTTTGACCACGGACGCGACGGTGTCATTGATCTCTCGCAGTTTGTGCTCGGGTTGCGCTCGCTGGGCATTCCGGTCTCGGTCGAGGTCGGGAGCCTCCTCCTCTTTCAAATCTCGGAGAAAAGCTCAACGCACCTCACGTGCAAGGACTTTCATCGACTCTGCGACCCGCACTCGACACTGTACACCAAGCGCAAAGGCAAGCACGTGCCGACAACACGAAAGAAGAAGAAGAAGGGAAGCGCTCCCATCACCCCGTCGGCACCGCCCCCAAAGCGGCGAAAACGACCCCCCGAGAAAAGCTCTGTCGACCCCATTGCAGCGGCCCAAGGCCTTCCGCAGTGGGCCCACGACCGGAGCAAGCGCGCGCTACGGGAACTACAGCACCTCTCCAAGATACGCCCGTTTGTACCAACCACGCCATTGGCCGACGACGACCGAAGCGGCAGCGAGAGCGACGAAGCGCCCAATCAAGCGTCGCCACCACGCCTCAAGGTGCCCCCCGTCGCGCTAGGTGCCTTGGATGCACCGCAATATACGACGTTTGCGATCAACGAGTCGACCGTGTTGGAGTACGCACTCTAACTGTGTGCGAATATGGCCCATGAATGAACGCGTAGATATGCCATTTTGCTTGCGCCATCGGCGGACGAGAAGGACGAGAATGACGCGCCCGAGGCCCCGCCGTCCTCGTTATTTGGCGACGACGTGGCCAAAGTACAAAGCCGCGTGACACGGCACCTCGACACCCGCAAGACGCACACGTGCGCGCGGCTGATAGTGGTTTTGGACGCGTTCCAAACGATCGCGATGATGGAAGCGCTGCTGCAGCCTTTTTTTCGGGTCTATCCGCTCGCACGGGTGCTTGTCATCGGGCATGTCGCCAAGGTGGCTCCCGACTCTAGTACGTCCATTTGCGCCCCACTGCCTCCATGATAGTGCTCTAGTCGTTACGAATACAACCTTGGCGTCGTACATGGGCGCGCTCCTGCTGCATTTGATGGACACGCGTGCGTGGAGTGTCCAGCCCAAACAAGGACCGGGTGCGGTGCCCCAGCTGCTGCTCGGGTGCGGGTCCGGGGCGGCGGTTGCGAGCTGGTTTACGCTTGTACGCAACATCGTTTTCTACATCGTTGACACCGAGGCCGTAGGTGACGGCGGCCGAAGACCCAAAGCTTCGCGTGCTCAATATGGCGCTCAGTGCGCTCTTTCTCGTCAACGGTTTTGCGAGCGCGTCCGAAGGCAGCGTCAAGTCCAAGCTCCACCCCGTACGTCGAGCTTCTCACTTTTGCAATGTGTGGTTTCGAATCGACAAATTAGTTGCTGCACGGACTGCACGCGACCAAAGGCGACATCGAGTGCCACGAACAGCTTGTGCAGTTGCTCTTTTGCGACGCGTACCTGGCGCAGGTGAAAGTCCACGTGGCTGTTTGACCACTGAGTTGTGTGTTTCTAGACCTCGCGCGAGACCGCCATGCAATTGTTCTTTCAACATCGGCGCCAATTTCTCGAGCCAACAAACCGCGCACAGCTCCAGCAACGCCTGAGAGCCATTCCCAAGTTTACCGCTCTCAAGCCTGTCTTGCGGTACTCTGTTTATATTTGTAGCCGTGTCGAGTGACAAGATGTAGCAACCTCCACGTGCCGTTGATCCTGCTGCAAAGCTCGCAAAACGCGTGGGTGCCGCCCAGTGCCGCGACTACGCTCCAGGAAGGCCACGTTCTCGTTACGTCGTTATCGGAAGCTTTCAAGCAACCCAACGCGGTGTACGTGGCCTGGCTCAAGGCCGGGCACGAGGTGCTCCAAGAGCGCTCGTCGTTTTGCCTCCAGTTTCTGGATGCGATTTTTGCCGCCGTCCTCGAGCACGTGACGCTGGCGCCAATTCGAGGAGCCGACGACGACGACGACGTGACGACTGTCGACGGGCTCGGCCACCGCACGCGGGAGGGACGCCACCACCTCGCCAGTGACGACGATGACGCGCTCGTCGTGCAAGCACCAACCAAGAATTGTGCTGACGATGGCGCGGGACCGCAGTGGGTACGTAGACCCACAGAGACTTGCTAGGACAACATGTCCATAGTCGTCGCGGGTGCTCGCCATTTTTCGCGAGCACGGTAGCCAAGGAGTTCGACAAGAGCTGGTCGACCGCGACATTGATCTGCCGCTGGGCGCGTCGGACAATGTACGTGCGCCGGTGCATAAGTCTCGCGCTTCCAACACGTTATATGGCGGCGTAGAGCTTGCTGAACGCACTGGAAGATGCACTGGCGGCCGAAGACAGCGCGTATGAGGTCATTTTGACCTCCAAAGCTGCGTTGGCGTCGCTGCAGGAGGCACAGCACGCCGAGCTCGCGCGTCTCGAGGCCGAGAAGCAGCAAAAGATCCTTCGAGATGGCGAGCGCAAGAAACAGCGGCTCAAGAAAGAGGAGCTCGCGTTCGCCGCGCGTGAACGCGACCGATTGCGCGCGGTGGCCATTGTGGACGCCGAGCGTCACGAGCGCCGCAGCATGGACATGGAAGATGAGAAAAGCCGGAAGCGGGAGGACTACGACCGCAAGGTGCGTGCGTTTAGCCACACCACATCGTGCCACATAGCATCATGTAGTGCGCACTGTGGGCCGAGAGCAACCGCAACGCACTCCAAAATGTCGTCGCCGAGCTCAAAGACGAGCGAAACGAAGCGCTACAGACCCAAGTACGACGACGACGCATCGTCATTGATGTCTCAGCGTGGGGGACTACTAGGCCGAGATCAACCTGGGCCTTGAGCGGGCGGCCCATCGCGCCAGCTTGCAAGCGCAACTGTGGGAGCTCCAGCGCAAGGTTCTTTCTTTTGCACGTGGTTTTAGCAATAAGGGATCTATGCGAATAGCTGGAAGCAAACCAAGTGACTCTACGGGGTGACGCCGAAGGGTTGGTCGAGCGGTGGCATTTCTCTTGGCTAAAGGATGGTGTTTTTAGCTACGGGCTCGAGTGTGGCGTCGACAGCCACGACATTCCGCGCGTGCTGCAAGGCATCGAGTGCATTCTCGCCGACGCCATTGCGGTCCGCGAGCAGAAAAAACGCAACTTGGCCACGCAAGCTGCGTCCATCACCAAGCACGAAGCGTACAACAGCCAGTTACAAGACGGCTCCCGCAGTCTCCACAACCTCAGCCGGGTACGCCGATCCCTGTCATCGAAACAAAATTTCATCAATTCGCCGTAGGCGCTGCATCGCGCCGAGACAGAAAACGTCATTGCCAAGCCCGATGCCGGTGGCGCCGTCCGGCTCGTGCCAGCTACCCCCGCGGCCATTCGTGCTCTCCGTGAAAAGGTGCAGCTGCTATCGCAAGATACGGCGCAGCTCCAGGCGCTCACAACCGCGAGTCTCGAAGAGGTCACAATGTTCGACCGGGCCATGCAAAGCATCGCAATTCTGCAAACACGCACAGAAGCCACGGTGCGCGAGCTACTGGTCAAAGCCGCCATTATGGTCCAAAACGCCAACGAAGAGCTGAGCTTGCTTCGGGTATTAAGCTATACCAAACGAATCGCCGCTTATTCGCACGCCATAGGAAACCCAGGAAGACGAAGCCGTCGCCGACGCCAAGCGGCTGCATGCGACCAACACGACGATCGCGCGCATGACGTTGTTGAGCGCCGAGGTGACGCGGATCCAGGGCGTGACAACCAAGATGGTCGACAGTGCCATCTACGTGGCAGGTACGGTCTTCCGCTTGCACAAAATGTACAAAGAAACCGGGTGGTATAGGGACATTACAGCGCCTTGACAAGGCGACCCTCGAGCGCAAATGCAAGGAGGAGCTCGATGCACTCGCTATCACGCTCGACGAGCTCCGTGCACAAAGCGCCGCCGCGATAGCAATTCGTGCCGACCTCCGCCTCAACATCAAACGCATTGTCGAAGGCCTCGCGCTGCTTTTGAGTGCACAGTCCCAATTAGCCAAATTTGAGAAATTCGCCGCGTCGACCACGGTCAAGGAAGAAGCCGAGCGGGACGCACAGGCGCGGGGGTATTCGGAGCGGTCGGCCGCGTTGGCGAGGGAGCGACTTGCGATTCCAGACGTGACGCTCGTGCGGTCCAAAAAGCTCTTTGAGCACTCGGTGGAAGAGAAGGAGTGGATCGCTTTAGACTTGAAACGGGGGGACCACGCAGTGACGCTCTACTCGAGTCTCTCAGAGCGCGAGGCCACCGAGATGCGCCTCGACCCGCTGTATCAGACGTCGCTGACCGAAGCCGAGATCGAGTACATTCTATCGCTACCAAGCCGCGTCTCGCTCGCGCTTCCATTTCTCAAGTCCCCGGCGCACCTCCGCGCGCACTTTTTACTGCGAAAATATACGTGCAGCGACGGCCAAGTCGTGCTCAACCAAATCGACGTGACGTATGCCCCGCCCATGCCATTGCCCCCAGGTTCCACCTCCTAAATTGCCAACTTAGATGAAGTGATTCCTCTAGGCCTCGACCTTCACGGGATGCTGCAGCGAAAACTCGCCGAGAGCCTTCGGCACAAGCCGTGGGCGTCGTGCAATGCGAAAGAGCAGCTCTGGCTCGCCTGCGATGCGCGTCTTGGCGCGAACCAAATGCACTTGCTGCCGCCCTTTCCTGTGGGTTTCCCCGCTCCGGATATGACCGCCGACCATATACGGGACGTCGCCGGCCAAATGTGGAGTCCCAGTATGCCACCCGCCGCCGCCGCTGTCTGGACCGTGCTGCATGAATTCGGTGGACTCCGCCCCAACGCCCAGCACATTGTTGTCATCTCGACCCTATCCGAGCTTGTCGGTACGAAAACATCATTCTCCAAAATGGGATTTTCGAGTTCAACGGCCGCTGCATAGAGGCCGACGAGCGAGCTACGATCCTCGTCGACGCCAAGACCCAGCGCACTCTTCTTGACGCCAACAAGTGCCAACTGCGAGCGCGGAAGAGTGCAACCCATGAGATTGCTGTCGACGCTGTGGGCCTTAGTCTCACGGTTTCGATCGTCTTTGAAGGTATGCTCGAT